AGCTTAAAAATAATGTAATTTCAAAATTGTACCTTGGAGGGGTTTCCCTCTTGTTTTCTGGTGCTGATGGTTTTGAGGATCTAACTTGCCAGATTTGTCTGTAATTCCAAGCCCTAAACACGGGCTTTTCAAGGGGGGAGTTTGGGAGGTTGTTTATGTTTCTTTTTTAATGAATCAAAGGAGAGTTGGGTTTTTTTTTTGCGATGCGACCCAAGTCTAAGCAGTTGTTCCAGCCACTGCGGTTAAGATGCAGCAATTTTCCTAGCGGATAGCACACTGGGAGGACGTGGCTGCTGTTGCCTCTGGCTGCCTGTCACCGCCTGGTGTTAAAGGCAGAAGTAGCTGGTGCTGGCTGGCTTGCAGGTGGTCTTTGCAAGCCAGGTTCATGCATGTGCTTTTGTTCCCTCATGAAACACCTTAACCATGGGTCACCACGTTTCTAATTGAGAGGCACGACTGAAGAGAATGAAGTAACCAACTCCTTGACAACAGGACTTCTTCAAGGAAAGTGTTCCATGTGAGATCTGTGGCACATCACAAGCTGCCAAAATTGCAGGCTGGCTTTCAGGCCAAAGAAAGGGTGGCGATGCTGCCAAACTGAGTAGCTAAGGTTTTCCTCGCCTTTTTTTGTTTTTAATTTGAAGCCACTTTTTATGTGAACACTCAAAAATGGCGCACATACCAATTACTGGAGCCTTCCTAAGGTGCTTTTGTAGCTTCAGTTGACTAAGGAAAACCAAATGAACAGATCTGGGGGGAGCAGGTATCCATGCTTGCCCTCCCTGCAGGCAATGGTGAGCTCACAGGGCTGGTACGCAGCACCAGATAACAAGGCGGCTGTTGTGCTGTGCGTTGGCTTGTGCTAAGGGAGCAGTAACCAAGACGTGGCAGATCGTGTTGTCCTGAGAAAATACTGCTAAGCATTTTCTTTTTTCTTAGAAATTGTTTCTTCCTCTGTTGGGAAGCCTATAATAAAAGTGTTGAGGGGGAAAGACAGGCAGACAGAAAAAAAAATAATGCTGTTTATTTAAATGTAGGTGAATATTTCCAAAATCAGACATGCCTGTGAAGAGCTTCATAAAGCTCCTCCAGGAGAAGTAACAGATGAAACCTTCACCATCTAGAACTGGAGCAGTTGTGCGCTAGGCTCAGCGTTTTCCTGTTCTCTGCCTACTGTTGCAAGCAAGCGTGATGAATCACCTACCGTCCACAGCTCTCAGTACTGCTTAGGAGCTGCTGTCTCGACTGAAAAGATAACCTGGAGCAAAGTCCAACTATATCTGGACTTTTTAATGGTTTTATTAACAGTCATAATATATATATATACACCCACCAGGATGTTTAGAATTTTCCTGTAGTATTTTGTTGTAACTGTTTGATTGATAAAGAGTATGAATCATATCTGCATGAAATCTACGGTGTAGGAAAAACATTGGCTCAATCGTTCTGAAAAGATGATACAGACTTGAAAATCAGCCAGAGACTGTGACCAGCCCCAGTCACGAGTGTTCAGTACAACTCCCTGATTTTCGGAAGAACATAGCAAGTGTGGACAACCTAGTTGTGATCACTTCAGTAGGGGGTGTTGGAGATGCAAGATCTGATGCCTAGAAATGGTGCTTTTAGGTGGTGAAAAGATGACAATTTTAAGTGCTTCTGCTGGCCTACTGGAGGGGGGG